AGCAGGAAGCTTTCCTTCGGGGCGGGGAAGGCATTTCTTCTCCCTCTGCAATCAGAATCATCTTTTGTTTCTTGTTTCTCCTTTACCTCCTCCTTTACACTTAACCCCCGTCTTCTCTAGACGGCTTAGCAGCCAATGCTGCGGTTAGAGCACAGCCCAGGCCAAGAGAGTGGCTCATCCCGACTGGGCAGTCATTTTCCCGTTCTCAGCCGTGACAGAGGGATGCTCCTTGGTGCTCTGTCCCGCTGTCAGACCTGGAGCCCCTTCCAGCAAGAATTTTTATCTCAAATCACAAGCTCCTTCCCATCAGACTCCTCCTGGAAAGAATCTGGAGTGCAAACAGGTGGGAATGGGTAAAAAAACTCTGCCATCAGTCCTGGTTTAAATGGAATAGCTGGCAGGAGAGCAGGGACCAAAGGCTTCTGTAAGTACTTAAATTTGTAAGGACTCCTGATTGTCTCATTGCTGTTGATCTATTTACAGCAGCAGGAAGGATGAAAAATCAGTGAAAGAAGCAGAGTTTCCTCCTCTTTTAAAACCTACATGGCAAAAGGTATTGTAATGAATCGTCCATTAAACATATCTGTCCCGACTTTATTCCAAATGTCAGGATATGATCTGCAAGGGATTTGGGATCAGGTAATAGCACTTAACGACGAAGCGGTCTGTGGAGCCAAGCAAAGCTTGGTTCTCCTTTTGCAGCCTGAGTAAATGAGGGGTAATTGGGATTAAAACCTGATCCAGAAGTCAGTCAGTAAGTAAATCCTTCATGGAACTGTCCCAAATTAAACCCTTAGAAACTCAGGAAGTCAGAGCTGTGACAGGAGGCGGAGGGAGATTCAACACGAGTTTTGTTTCGCTAATGTATCTCAATTCCTGGGCTTGTTCTGTCTCAAATGGTTTAGCAGATATTTAAAAAAAAACAAGTGTTCTAAGTTAGCTTGCAATATGCCTCAAGAAATCAAAGGATATGGATTTTTTTTTTTTTTTTTTAGTTGGGTACTGTATTTTTAATGAGTTTAGAGATTCTTAGTGTGTTTAATGCCCGGTTTCCTTACTGAATGATGGTGATTCTTCTTGGAAATGATAATTCATTTCACCTCCCAGGAGAACAAGACAAATTTTGGTGTATAACAAGTTAATTTGACATGCACGCTCCAGCTCGTGCTGTGTGACTTACTGAATGGAAACAGGCATATTTTCCTGGCAGGCTTACAAGAGGAGATGGATACAGTGGCATGCACCATCCCCAAATGCACGCTTTAGGGGAAATCAAACCAAACCCGCTCCCAAGGAAAATGCTGCATTGTTGCTTGTTTTGCCCTTTCGAGAGACTCTGCGCGTTGAGTATTGTGCTGAGCTCTGGCATCCAGCATGGCCAAAGTCCACCAAAAGGGCAGATTAATGTGATAAATTAATGCAAACCCTAAATTTTGCTCACTGGAATCGGCCTCCATGGCTGCTGCTCTGCTCGCTGCTGACCTGGATTGAATCAATTTGTATCGAAAGCTTTAAGAATGTTGATCTGGAGTTGCCAAAGAGCCACCAGAGTTACAAGTCTTAATGTGGATCTGTGGATCTGCCCGTCAGACTGAGCAGAGATAACAAAGTGAAACACAAGTTTTGAGAAATGCTGACTGTAGCATACTGGGGGATAAATATGTATACATATATATAATTCATAATGTGTGCATTCATAGATATGTAGAAAAACATATTTACATATTTACTATAAATACCATTGCACGGTGAATTCAAGCACAGTTATTTTAAAAACATTTTAGTGTTGGCAATAGTGTCCACACGTTCCATAATAGTCTTTTTCTGCAGAGGCAGCTCAAAACCAAAGTGTGATAGTAAATATCCTGTCTTTCACAACGCCTATCAGAAGCGTTGCTATTTCAGGGACCTGCCTGCACCTATTACAGTCGTAATTCATGGGAGAGTACCGCCAGCACGCATTAAATTAAGCCAAAATTTTCATACTAGAGTCTAAAGCACTGGGGCCCTATGCCAGCTCTGATATGGAGCGGTTTCCTGGTGGGGAAAAAAAAATTAATTATTAAAAAAAGTGCTAGCAAAAGTCCAGTAGGTCTACATGGAGAATCAGATAGTCTGCCTCAGATCAGCTGCCCAATTTTGGGAGAGGTGCTTCTCCTCTCTATACCTGTAATGGTGGCTGTGTCTTCCAGCTGATGTTGGGTGCAAATAGGGCCTGCTGCAGCAACCATGTCCTTGTAGCCTTTAGGAATGGCTTACAGGCCTTGAAACATCCTGGCAAAATAGATGCCCGTTTGTTAGCCAGTACGCACTGTTAAATGTCAGTGCTTTTGAACCCATCTGTATTGGAAAGACCACAATTCCTTTGGCTCTTTTCAACCCAGACTTTGAAAAGGCTGTGTTTACACACATCAGCAAGGCTCAGGGTGTTTGTGGTCCTTGCGTTAAGCGTGGTAAGCTCTAAAGGATTCATGTGATGAAAAGGCAGATGCTTCCGTGTGTTACGTCTTTCATGGTTCTCGGGGGGCCCTTTTGCTTTGGTGCCTTCAGCACTTTTGGAATAGAAAAGCACGTTTGACTACATGAAATGCAGAAGAGCTGGAGGCCGCAGCATTGCCTGGCAGGCACGATGAGGAGGCTGGTCTGGCTGAAGGCACACGTTTGCTGTGTTCAGCGTTGCTCTGGTCGCCGACGGGCGGTTTCCCCGCCTGCAGGTGTGTGACGGGGTTTGTAGGCTGGCCGGTGCCTTGCAGAGATGCCCCTCTGAGTCCTCCCAGTTACTCTTAAATATTTGGTGCTTTTGAATTCAGTTTGCATTTAGGGTATCGTGCAAGAAGATGTTACTGTGACTTGGCTTAGTCGTCCTTGTGGAACCAATGCGGCATCTCGGTACCTCATAACCGGAGTATTTTTCAGTCTGTTTGTGCAATGTGCGCTTGCAAGTGCTTGCAGGATTTTCTTCAGAGTGCTTCTAATTCCCGTAAGAGTAGCAACTTGAGAAAGAACTTGAATAAACTAGCAGGAGTGTTGAAAGACACAAACCAAAGGATTTCTTCATATTTTTTTGGGTTCTCATACTGGCATGGGCACATTGCATCTCCTGGGGAGAGTCGCTGCAGAAAATACCCCCATTGGTCCTGCCAAAATAACCAAGGGCACTGATTCTTTGCTTAAAATTCAAGGATTTCCTGCTAAAAATTGTTTGAAATTAGCATGGGTTAAAAGTTAAATTGCTCTGCTGGAAGTGAAAAAGCATGGTGCCTCAGGAACTTGTTCCATTTGAAAAGTCGTTGTTAATGGTTTTCCTATAAGCTCTCCAAACAGGCAATGCCATGACAGTGTCAGCTTCTTCTGGTGATGTCAAATTATACGGATCAAGGTATAATTATAGACAAGTAAATGTTATGTGAAGGAGCCATCATATTGCTCACAGTTAGAAGTAGTGCTTTGTGTTTGCTAGTAAAATGCTTATCTTGATAAATAGGAACGTCAGCCCCAGCATCTTCTGCGTGCCATGAAACCTCTCGCTCTACCTCTTGGCCTGTCAAGAAGTGTTACCCAGGAGTGACTTTGGTTCTTGCTGCATCCATAACCAAGTGTTGAGAAAAAAATCCTGATTTCAACACAAATCGTGCAGTCAAAATGCAAATCCAGTGTATGAAACCGCCCACCCCTACCGCATCGCTGGTGATTTTATACCTGCAGCTTTTTGGCTACAATTAACTATTCCTTTAGAGGAAATGACTGTTGATCCCGACTCTGAGTTCATGTTCAGGGTGAGGTCTCTAAGCCTGAACCGAATGTCGTGGAAAAAGGGCATCAATTTTCCTGTTCAACTCCAGGTAGTAAGAAGTACGAAATAAAAAGGCAATGCCCTTTCTTTTGACAGATAAGCTCGG